CACATGCCACCTACCCGTAAATAAGACATGGATGTGATTTTAAAAATTATGCTTGTCAGGCTTCGGGAGCTCTACTGCCTCTCACGGTCCCTCCCTCCCCTGTCTGTTGCAGTTGAGTGGATTGCAGCCGTGACGTTTGCTGCTGGGACAGCTGCCCTCGGTTACCTGGCTTACAAAAAGTTCTACGTTAAAGATACTCGTTCCAAAGGTATGGTGAACCTTCACGTCCAGAAAGACAACCCCAAGGTGGTGCACGCCTTCGACATGGAGGACCTGGGAGATAAGGCTGTGTACTGCCGCTGCTGGAGGTCCAAAAAGGTGAGTGCGGCGCCCGTGTGCCCGTGTGCCAGGCTGGTGGAGAGCCCTGTTCCGCCATGCTTCTGTGGGGTCTGGTCCTCCTTGGTTTTCACACACTGCTTTCTGTTCATCAGAGACAGGCTCTGGCCAGGGAGCTCAGACTAGCCTCAGACTTGCCATCCTGCTGCCTCTGTCTCAAGTGCTGGGATTGCAGGCTTGCCTCAGCACACACAGCTCTCCATACTCCTGCGGAATATGTTTTCTCAAATATACAGCTGCCATGCAGTGAAATTACATCATACCCTCAAGGAATTAAACTGAGTTAACCATCAAAAAACCCCAAGATGAAGGAAAAATGTCTTCGATTTTCTCTCGGGAATTCTTCCCCAAGGGGATCTCGGGAGGAAATTCCACCGCCTAAGTGCAATGAGAAACTGAGTGAGCGAAGTGTGTGTGAGAGACAGGATCTTGCTGGGTAGTCTGTGAAGCTGCAGAGGCTCCTTGGAGCCAGGCTACACTGGTGCCTGTCTTCCTGTTTTGGATTATAGGTGTGTAGCACCTCACCTGGCTTAGATTTCTTACTGGTAATATCTATCCTAAGCCTTCTTTTAGCTGCAGTTCCTGTAATTAAATACCTGGCTGTATTGAATCCATTGAAACCCACTTGATGTGATGAGAATTATATTCTGTCAGATGGAAATGACACCTGCAGGCTCTAGACATGGACAGGGTGATGCACTGGGTGACTTCAGAATTCCGGGTGTCGTGAGAGGCCCAAAATGCTAACACTGGATGTGCTGCTGTTCATATTCGTGGAAAATGGTACAGTGGCCGGGCGGTGGTGGCACACACCTTTAATCCCAGCACTCAGGAGGCAGAGGCAGGCAGATCTCTGTGAGTTCAAGGCCAGCCTGAAGTTCCAAAGCTTAATTTCCAAGGCCGTGGCATGCTGAGCTGGGAGTGTAGGCAGTGGGGAGTACCAGAAGCCATGAGTTTGGTCCCTAGATCTAAAAAAAAAAAAAAAAAACCACATAATTTAAAGTACTATTTTCTGAAATTGCAGTCTGTTAGAGGCTTACTACAGTGGGGAATGCTATCACGAATCTTGTCATAAACATGGAAGGGGCTGTGTAAGACCTAGTAGAAAGTGTGTTTGGGGGAATATTTTATTTTATTATTTTTTTAGTTTTTAATACCATCTTTGTGCGTGCATGCCTGTGTATGTGCATGTGTGCATGTGTATGTGTTGGTATAGTCACATGAGCTCAAACACCTGCAGAGGCCAGAGGCATCAGACCCGCCCCTGGAGCTTGAGTTACAGGCAGTTATAAGGTGCCCAAGAGTGCTGGGAGCTGGGATTCAAACTTGGGCTTCTACAGGAGCAGAACACACACACACTCTCTTAACAGCTGAGCCCTTTCTCCAGCCCTGTTGGGGCTGGAGGGGGTGTGTGTGTACATATTTTAGTTAGCATGCTAAGAAATGGCCTTCACTGTACCATTTTCATAAATATATATATCGTCATACTTTGCCACCGCCTCCCTGTTCCCCCTACCCTCCTCCTTGTCACCTCTTACTGGTGCCATTTCTAATCCCTAAGAATGCCCCTTTCAGCTCTCATGTCGTGTGCATACTGGTACCCTCTCCTGCTCCTCCTGCCTTCATCCCCATCACAGTCCCGAGGAACTATGTTTCAGTAAGCACTTCTAGTAGCTTGGTGTTGTGTGGTCCAGTAAACACAGATTAAGAGATGGCACTGTGTCCCACGATGGCCTGGTGTGAACATGGAATGTGAACAGTAGGTGCTCCTGGAGCTACTAGGACATAATCTCTTGGTGCTCTGTAGTCTAGACTTGTTTTAAAAGGTGTCCCTACATAGGCTCCATTCTTACTGTTCACTAAATCTTAGGAAGCAAAAATGGAGACTTTCCCCCAGTCACAGAAGCTCTTCAGTCAGTGATGTTACATGTAAATTCCCAAAACTGCTCACTGCGTACCCCTGCTCCCATACCAACATTGGTGTCCCAGGTGAGCCCTGTCTCTGTAATTCAGGTGCATTAATAAATGGGAGTGCTTATGCTGTGGGCTAAATTGTCTGAGAGTTTGACTGCCTCTAGAAAGTGGAAGGCATGTGCGTAAGCATATGCAAGTATTAGCAGTGCTTTCTCAAAATGTACAAGAAAGCAGTCATGAGGAAAGGGGGTGGGTGAAGACTCGGGCCCTCCAGGGATGAGTCCGTGAGGAGAACCAGTGTGAAAACTTTGCCTCATGGTTTGGGCCATGGGTCTTTCAGATGTAACTTACAGTAGGATGCTGGCTGAATGGAGAGAAATGAACAAGATCAGTGAAAAACAGTGACTTTTTAAAAAGACTTCTTTTTATTAGCTTTAATTATATGTATGTGCATGCGTACGGGTACCCACAGAGTTGGGTCCCCCTGGAACTAGAGTTATAGGCAGTTGTGAACTACCTGACATGGGTACTGGGAACCAAACTCAGGTCCTCTGGAAGAGCAGCACACACTTAGCCACCGATGTCTCTCCGGCCCTGGCAGGGACTAGTCAGGGAGACTGGGGAGGAAACTACAGCATCTTAGCCTGTGGTTTAAAGGGAGCACTCTTTAACAGAAACAAGGAATTCAGTTTGAAAAGCTAATGTTTCCCCAACAGTGCTAAAGAGTTGAGTTGCAAAGAGTGGGTTTGAGGTGAGGGTTGAGAGGAAATGTGCGGCAGCAGTGGTCCTGACTGAGGGGCACAGTGGCAGCGGAGGCCAGCAGAACTGGTGAGTCAAGGCGACACAGTAAGAATCGGAGATGAAATCTCAAAGGATGTTCCGCGTTTGGACAGCACAGAGTCAGATAGGACAGGCCCTGGGGGAGAAGTAAAGATAGAGCGGCCGAGTGGGAAGGAGAATTTTCCTGGCTTTGGTGCTGAGCTGGCCTGTCAGCACGGCCAGGTGAGTGGGTGATGATGATAGCAAGACTCTTAGATTAAGCAATTAGCAGCTGACCCACAGAAGCTCAAAGTGGTAGCACTTGTTTTGGGGGAACATAGGCTTTCACCGACTTGGACACAGAGTTTTAATTATTCTGTTGAAATGGCAGCAAAAGGTCAGCTTGTCCCTCTACCACCAGACACAAAAATGTCACTAATTCCTATGACGTGGAATTAGTAAAAATGAATGAACATTGGAAATTTATAAGCACATCTCCAGAAGAAAATGTCTCCATGGACCCTTCAAAATGAGCTGCATTAGAGGCGGAAGTTCTAGAGGCTCAGGGGCGAGCAAAATGGAGAAACTGGAGCCAAGATTGCTGCAAAGATGTTGACATAGGGTCCTAAGCAAAGTGATTTTTCTTTTGTTTTTTTGAGACAGGATCTCATGCAGCCTAGGCTGGCCTCGAACTCTTGATCCTTCTGCTTCTCAAGTATTGGCATTACAGGTGTACACCACTACACACAAGTACAAATTGATTTTAATGAAATAAACTTGAACTCTTACAAGTAGAACTATGGGCATAATTGTGGGTAGAGTGCCTGCCTAGTATGCACAAAACCCAGGATTCAGCTCTCAGCACACATCTCTCTTTTTTTTTTTTTTTTTTTTTTTTTTTGCCTATTTACAAATAGGCAAAAGGCATAGGTCACTAGAACGGTAGCCAGTAGGTACTCACAGCTAAAGTCTTCAGCGTGCAACACCAGATGTCAGGACGTTGGGGTAGTGATCTGGATTTTATCCTCCTGTCCATTTCTCCCTCCTGCTCAATGAAGTACCTTTGCTAGCCAAGAACAGTAGAAGCTGGGAGGTGTGGGAATCTGGCATCCATACCCCTCTGCCGAGCACAGACTGATGTGGGGATTAGACATTTTACAGTCTTTCTCTCTTCCTAGTTTCCGTTCTGTGATGGGGCTCACATAAAACATAACGAAGAGACTGGAGACAACGTGGGACCTCTGATCATCAAGAAAAAAGAAACTTAATGGACAGTTTCAATGCTGCACTCCAGAGTGTTGTGATGTCACCTGATCATTTAATTAGAATGAATGAATGAGACACTCACTCTGTCTGATTGGCCTCCCTGGGTTCTAGATGTGGTTGATACCTCGCGAATCGCAGCTTTCACATTCATGGCATTAGCCTTGCTATTGGAATATCGTGGTGCACATTTGTTGATAGAAGAAGGAGATAAAAAAAAGAAAGGCTAAACCAACCTCATGATATATGGGTTATTTTGGTCTTATAAGGATCGTTCCTTTAAAATAATGGTCTTAGAATATAGTTGTATCTTGAGGTTAACGTATTAAATTATTCTCAAAATCATGTACATTGTAAGTTTAAAGGAAAATCACCTTTTCTTATTTCTTAGTTACCTTGGAAATTAATAGAGTGTGATGCAGTTGCATTGATTTCTTACAGCATAGGAGAAACCTGCCATGACCTTGACTGTCTTGTAGCCAAGGTGATGACATGGATTCAGCTTGTGTGTTCTAATGTTTTCAGTCAGAATTAACTGAATGTTCTTCTCCTTAAAGTCGCCCAGGTCAACAATAAAGGGGCAACAACTTCCTTGTGTTCATCGCTGTGGATATTTGATTGATCCACCAATAGCAGAAATCTAGACTCCAGTGATGTCGGCCAAGTAGTCACAAAGAATGTTGGGGCAATGGCTCTCTGGATAAAGTGCTCATGTAAAAGCCAGACAGGCATGGTGGCTTGCCTGTAATCCCAACGCTTGGGGGGCAGAGGTAAGGATTACCAGAACAAGACTAGCCAGAATCAAGGAGGTCTGCTTTCAACAAGAGACCCTGTCTCAATAAATACAGGAGCTCTATCAAAGAAGACACTGGTATCAACCTCAGGCCTCCATTTGAGCACACACGTGCACCACACAATGTGAATGTGATTGATTATACACATGTACGTCACATATCCGTATAGCAAAACAAAATAAAATGTAGTCTTATGGAGCTTAAGCCCAAGAACAGAAGGGCATCGGACTGAAGGCTTTGATGGGATTTGATGCCCATGTTCAAGCATATTGATCTCAAAGCCACACAGCCTTGCAGAGCATAACTAGTTTCAATCAAAAGCATAGGAAATTCTTATTTCCCACTCTGAGTAATCAAGTGCATGGCTCAAGCTAGTAAAGGAACAACCTTTTTTTTTTTTTTTTTTTTTTTTTTTAAAGATTTATTTATTTATTATGTATAGAGTGTTCTGCCTGCACATTTGTCTGTAGGCCAGAAGAGGGCACCAGATCTCATTACAGATGGTTGTGAGCCACCATGTGGTTGCTGGGAATTGAACTCAGGACCTCTGGAAGAACAGCCAGTGCTCTTAACTGCTGAGCCATCTCACCAGCCCCAGGAACAACCTTTGAAGATAAAAGGGACCCCCTCTTTTAAACGTACAAGGCTTGAAGACAAGTGTTACTATGCATAGTTGCTGCTCTGCCCGAACGAGCACCCGAGGCTCCACGTGCCACCCTCATTGACTGAGCCCTGGTGAGCTGTCTTCTCTAGACCACTTACCTCAGCAAAGCCACTCGGCTCCTCGGCCCAAGTGTATGAATGTTGTGTGTGTTCGTATGGGGTATGTGGTCACAGGTGGAGGCCAGAGGTCACTGTTGGGTCTCATCAGTTTGGCTACATTGGCTCACCAAGGAGCCCCAGGGATCCTCCTGTCCTCCCCCAACCCCCAGCACTAGATTCCAATGCACCTAACTTTGGGGGTTTGGGGAGCCAGACTCCAATCTTCATGCAAACCATGGCAGGCACTTTACCCACTAAACTATGTCCCCAGCCTGTTTCTCGGCCTTTTAAATCAAGGAAATTGGACTAACTGGTCTTTCCAGGGTTTGTTTGCAGATTTTAGACCAACATAAAATGTGTGGCTGTCTTCCCCAGGAAGGGGAAACAGCTAGAAGACAGTCAGCCTGGACTCACTTTCTGCAGAAAGGTCTTGAGTTCTCTTAGAGTTTCCTGCGTGAGGGACCATGTTTAGAGATGCGGTGACATCTGTCTGATGGATGTGTGCATCCCATAATTGGCTATCACAGTTTGTGATGTAACTGACAAGATAAGCGTTTAGTTATAGCACTGTACGATAAGGGTTATTTGATAAATGATAGCTGCTTCCAGACAGTTGGACGGTTTTTTTTATTTTTGCATCCATTATGGTGACACTTGGCTTTAAGATAAACATTAACTGAGGTCCCCAGTTGGTAGCATAAGTGGTGTAGGCAGTCTTTGAGAGTGTATTCTGCTAGTTGACACGATTGATTTATTAAGAGATAGAGTCTTACTGTGTAGTGCAGGCTGGCTTTGAACACAGAACTGCCTCAGCCAGTCTCATGCCAGAGTCGCAGGCCTGAGCCACCACGGTAGACCTGTCCCTGATAGGCAGGGCCACTTCACTTTTCAGCTTTTTAAATAGACATGATTGTGCTAAGTGACTTATGAGACGTGGGTCCCCAAACTTTGACCTAGGTCAAATGTTTAGCTATCCAGGAAGGAAAAATAATAGTATAAAGTTATCAGCATGAATTTCCTTTTTATTGTAAGACAATTCCAACATCTACAGTATTGAAGTATTCTTCAATGAAATGTTGGTAGCGGTATCAGTTCCCTTAAATACTTTCCTTTCTTTCTCTTTTTTGGTTTTTCGAGACAGGGTTTCTCAGCCCTGGCTGTCCTGGAACTCTCTTTGTAGACTAGGCTGGCCTCGAACTCACAGAAATCTGTCTGTCTCTGCTTCCCGAGTGCTGGGATTAAAGGTGTGTGCCTCCACCGCCCAGCTAAGTACTTTTCTTGTTAAAATATAAAGATTGCAGCCATACAAATTTGTCCCTTTTTAACTGCTCTACAAACTCACCAAGTCTGAGCTGCACCAAGCCAAGGTCCTATCAAAAGTTCTAGAATGTGTTTGCTGATGTCAGTGCAGTGTGATGCTCGACTTAAGTTTCAGATCTTGATAGTGAGCTCAGCATGGTGCAGGTTCATGGGAAGTTCGTCATTGCCTTCAATGCTTCAGACTTGCTGCTCCCTTTACCACCATGGGTCCAAAGCAAGGGCAATGCTGCGTGACTTTAGTTTCCCAAAAGATGAGTTTCTGCCTTTCCTGAGCAAAGTCCAGGTTTATTACAGGCTTAAGAAGTCTGGACCGGGAGTCGCTCAGTGACTAAAGTCCCTGCCTCCCACTGCAAGGCCCAGGGTTCAGTCACGAGCACCACAGTTTCTCAAAGTTCCACAGAGGGATTGCACACATTAACATAGTAGCTGCAAATCGCCAAGGTTACTGTAGAGAACAGAGATGAATAAGATTTTTCCATCAGTCAGTAGGACACTGTTAACCTCTTTCTTATGTATCTGGAATTAGTTACTTTTCTCCTTGCTCTGACAAAAATACCTAACAGTTTGGGGGTACATTCCACTGAGGCAGCTGGTCACATGGCATCCACAGTCAGGAAGCAGATGAATATTGGTGCTCAGCTCACTCTTTATTCTTCAAGGACCCCAGGCCATGAGATGGTGCCGCCCTATGGGTGGTAGATCTTCCCATCTCTGTTAGCCGGGTCACAGACAGATCCTGGTGTGTCTCTTAGACGGTTCTCAGTCCTGTCCAGTTGGTGATCATAATTATCCACCACAACCCTGAACAACAAGAAAGCCATTTCACATCAAACGTGCTGGGAGAATGCCGGGCCAGCCTTGTGTTCTAAAGATAGTCCTCACTGATGATAGCACCTGTACAGGTCTCTGGTGACAGACTTTTCCTTGTGTTTCCAACCTGTCTCCTAAGGACAGCCAGAAGTTGATTCTTCACAAGGCCTCAAGTGAGTAAACAGAGTTATATAGATTTACCAGTTTATCATTCATTATTCCTGTGTGTGTGCATGATTGGGGGGGGGGGGGTATTTTTCATTGAAAATAATTTTCAGCATTGCCTGCTTACCTATGGGGATAAGTTGTTATCTTCTACTGTTCCCATCACAAGCCCGAGTTCTCTCTCTCGGGCTAGGCTCATCTAAGTGCATGGAAGGTGTGCTCCAGGTTCCAGGATCCACTAAACTCAGAAAGTCTGACAGTTCCTTTAAAATCCAATCTCTTACGTCATCCGTCCCTGCAGGGCAATCCTTCTCTCTCGTGTTTGTTTGGGTTTTGTTTTCTTTTATGTTTGTTGTTTGAGTCAGGATCTCCCCATGTAGCCCTGGCCTTGAACTCCCAATCCTCCTGCCTCAGCACTGTGTCTCCAGAATCCTTGTTTGATATTTATTGACGCAGTTCAGCCATGTGTTCAACTCAACATTGTGACTTTAAATTCCTCAACTGTTGTCTTTCCAACACACTAGCCCCATGGTCTGTCCATTTTTCACTCTTCCAACTTAAAGCAACCTCCCTCGGAACCCTGCAAACCCTAGATGATGTCACGCAGTCTTTTGGCTTCAGTCTGGGCTCGGAGTGCCACCTAGTGCACAGCGTCTGGTACTGACAACACAGAACCCTAAATTACATTTTGTGTGTGTGTGTGTCTGTACTGAAGCCCCTGACCTTGTGTACCCCTAAAGTGAGGGTCACTTTCAGCAGCTGACATTTGCGACTTCCCCATGGTTTGGACATCTGGTTTGGGAAATCGCCAGTAGTGTTCTTTTTTTTTTTTTTTGAGACAGGGTTTCTCTGTGTAATTTGGTGCCTGTCCTGGATCTCCGTCTGTAGACCCGGCTGGCCTCGAACTCACAGAGATCCGCCTGCCTCTGCCTCCTGAGTGCTGGGATTAAAGGCATGCACCACCACCACCCAGCACCAGTAGTGTTCTTAATCCCTGAGGGAAAAGTTTTAAAATTTTGGTCACTAAAGTTAATGACTAGAGCAGCATTCAGTGAATGTTTCAAGTTAACACCCGCAATGGAATGCAACTTTAAAGGCTACAAAGATAATTGTCCAGAAGCTAACATTCCTATTTTCTCCTCTCCAAACCTGAAAGTCCATTTTGGTTTGTTTATTTTATTGTTTGTTTTCTCTATTCTGGTATGCTACATCTAATATGCTAAACTTGGGTTGTGGTTTTTTTGTTGTTTTTTGTTTTGTTTTGTATTTTCTTTCCCAACCAGGGCACCATTCTGAATAACCTGCCCTAACAGGTTTGGCTGTGATGTATCCAATCAGCAGTAAAGCTGTGACTTAGCTGGCATAAAAAACCAACCAGTAAGCCAAGTTTGACCCAGTTGAGGGTACAGCTAGGTGGTAGAGTGCTCACCTGGTGTGGCGTGACCCCAGCACTGCAGAAGTAAAAGCCACACACCTCTGTCCAGTCTGTTCGGACTTGGCATGCTCAGGGTGCAGCAGAGAGAGGGGGTGGTGCCCTGTTGGGTAGCAGCTTTCTTGACACAGCCCATCACCCCATGATAAGGTCACCTGCTTCGTTGGTCCTCACCCCTCCTTTTAAAATGATTTGGGGCCTAAAGAGATGGCTTAGAGGTTAAGAGTATGTAGTTAGCGTTCTTACAGAGGACCCAGGTTTGGTTCCCAGTGGCCACACTGGGTGACTCATGACCACCTGTAGTTCCAGCTCCAGGGATCTAACACTTCTAGTCTCCAAGGACACTTACACACACGTAGAAACATAAATGCATATGCATAATGAATTTTTAGACATTTCTTATTTACATGTGTATGTATTTGCCTACTTGTCTATGTGTGCACCACATGAGCACAGGTGCCCAGAGAAGTCAGAAGAAGGTGTCAGATCCCCCTGGAGTTGGAATTGGCAGTTATGGGCTGTCTGATGTGGATTATGGGATCCAGGACCTCTGCAAGAGTACCAAGTGCTCATAACGGCTGAGCCATCTCTCCAGGCAATCCCCTACCCACTCTGTAGTCAGGAGAGCCTCTTAGTAACTGAGCTGACCACTGTCTACAGTGCTGCTCCAACAACCATCCACGTCGCAAGGTGATGGCCAGCCTTGACAGCTTGCTTGTCTCCCATTCCCCTGGCCTCACTTAACACTAGTCACAGCTTCCACGGCTATTTCAAGAGATATGACAATGGCAGCTGCTGCCACAATTGGGGTGCCAGGCTCTGGGGCTGGGACATACTGTGTGGGATCCTCATTGTTAGGCAGGAACCCTTTGATGCAGCAGCCCTTCTACACCAGACTGGACTTTGTCCCTTTGGAGGCCAGAGTTCCTAGTCTATTTGGCTTTCCTCTTTCATCCTCTTGGACATGTAAAGGAGTATCTCCACCTCCCATTGTTTTCTCCCATCTGCCCTGTGTGCACCGTTACCTCTGTGTCCCTGGCCATCTGAGCAAAGTGGTCAGCTCAGGGTTAGACAGGGGGAAGGATAAATACATATTTCATTATCTGTGAGCCAAAAAGAAACTGCTCTGACCAAGCTTGACATTGCTGGTGTTGGTCTGCGAAGCCTGCTAGCCACATATCACCTCCTTGAGGTGGCATGGATGTGTATAGAGATTGCAGGTTTCTAAATCCGACTGAGATTCAAGCCCCTTCTCACTCGCACTTCGTTGAGTTCTTGAGGTTATTCTCTGCAATGGTTAGTTTTACGTGTCAACTGGGTAGGACATGGGATACTCAGATAATTGGCCAGTCAATAATTGGTGTTGTAGGTGTTTGTGTGAGTGTTTTAGAGTAAGATGAAATTAAAGCACTAGATGAAATAAAGCAGATTGCCATCAGCAAAGCACCACAGACCTCATCCAGTCCTCTGAAAGGATCAGGAAGGCTGGAGTATGGTCCAGTTTCAGAGCCCCTGGCCCTGGATTCACTCCCCGGCTTGGGTGCACACAGCCATGTGTGCCACTCCCAGCTGCTGTGGGTCCACACTGGAATTGAGGGTGAAGCAAAAAGATGACAAGGTTGGGACCAGCCTAGGCTATACTCTAAAAGAAAAGTTGTGTATTTCCCTGACTTGTAAAGTGCAATTGGAGATTGCATTCTCATCCCTGATCATCAGGGCAGAAGAGGCCAAAACACGCAGGAGTTTACCTACCAGGACCTCATCAGAGAACAGAGAAAATCAGTGGCTGCTGCTTAGGCATTATCATTATATAATGAAGAGATGCCCAAGCCAGATGTTTCTTGACCTCTGTACAGCTATAACTGAGCACCCATCCCTCCACCCCCTTATTGTCCCCAACGTCCAGTGACCATGGGTCAGCTTCTGAATGACCCATCTATGACTGAAACTGCAAGGTGGCTTATTTCACTTAACATGTTGTCAAGTTCCATCTATGTTATAGCAAATGACAGGTTCCACTGAGTGTTTACAGGCACCACGTTTTCTTTGTTCATCTGTTGACAGACACTGCAGCTGATTTCATGTCTGACCACTGCTGCAGTAAACGTCAGAGAACAGATGCCTGTTGTAAATTAAGCCACCCCATTTGTAATTGCAAAGGGGATTGTGTTAATTATATATAATAATAATGGTGCTAGAGCACTTGGTCAGGTCATTAACCTTCCTGAACCTTTATAACACAGGAGTAGTAGGACTATCTCACCGAGTGGTCATGAAAATAAAACACAGGTCATACATTTGTCCAAGGAAAACACTGCAGAATTAGTTACAAATCTAATTGACCTTTGTTGGAGATCCATGAAATTGAAACGGCCTCAACTCTACAAAGTCAGACAAGGGCTCCCACTGGGCAGGAGTAAAACAAGGTTTTGTTGCATAACAGTACACAGACAGTAAAAATTAAGACTGGTCTTTACAGCTCTGGGGAGCGAACCCATGACCTCCTCATCCATGCTAGGCAAGAGCTTTACCACCGTAATCCACCCCCACCTCACATTACTCTTCTGTAAAGACTGAAGGAAAGGCCAGCTTCCTTGTCCAGCTGACTCAGCCTGGACTCGGGACTCAGCCTGGACTCGGTGTTCGGGAGAGCTGGTCTGGCTGGGTTTATCTGCTTCCTTAAAGGTGTCATGTGGTTTGGGGCCTTTTCATCTCCGTTCTGACTTTGGACTCTTGGAGCCTGGAACAGGAGCTTGCTCCAAACCGTGAATATCCCATAATTTTCGCCCAGCCCCTAAGAGTGTTCAGTTACTCATTGTCACTTGATGTTAAATAGCATGCCACCATGCCACAGGAATTGTGACCAGTTTGTGTCTGAGAAGCTGTTTCCTTGACCAGAGTCTACAGCTTAATCATAATCCCAATCGACGAACCATTTCCTACAGGGCTAGGTTGCTTTGTTTGCATGGCCCTTGTGTGACCAGACTCCCTAAGAGGAAACTGGAGAGAGATAAGAAGAATAAACACCCACCCACATAAGGGGAGGACCCTGGAAATGAAGAAGAGAAGCAGTAGGAGCAGCCCTGCTATTCCACCTCCCCCCGGTTCCGTTCATCCTTGGTTCATATCTGCCTGGTGCATAGGGAGAATGCAGGGTCTGCAGACTAAATAAATAAGTGTAACAAAAAATGTAAAGAAATACCAAGCACGGGGTAAAAAGAGAGAGATGTCATGGTGTTCGGCAGCAATGGAACAGATATCCTGCCTCTCCCTTGACAGTGTGGGGAGATAGATCAAGGCAATGGCAGGAGAGTGTGCTATGACATGGAATTTCTAGTGCTTTCCTGCCCATACAAATGTCATAGCACTTTGCTTATCGTCACTCAGTCACTTAGGCTATGACCTAAACTAAGACAAGTGCTTGCATAGGACTCTGCCCTCAAATGAGGCATATTTCTCATAGCATCACCCCAGCGGATATCACAGTACGGTCAGGTTTCTTGCTCTTCATCTTTGGATGGCCAGAACAGGTAGATCTGCCTTGCAAAGGTCAAACTGTTAACAAGGGAAGGATGGAACTCAAAGTCAGGTATATATACTGATCTGAAGTCCTACTGCATCTACAGGTCACCTCCTGTGTCATACTCAAACATACAGATGTGGTTTCCTCCAGCCGTGGCTTCTGCATGCATGGATGAGCCCAACCACAGATTGAGAAGCTTGGGGGCGCGCAGTGCTCAGAGCTCAGTCTCCAAAGGAGGAAAGGAAAGGCTGTGTTGAGAACAGGCTGCGCCATGGTCTCAGTCATCCCATATTGTGTCAAACTGTGTGTTCTCGGTGTGTCTTGCCCTGAGAGACTCCATTTTCCAAACATCCCTTAACTCTGTCTGGAGGGTGGAGGGTGACTGTACAGCCAAGTGGACAAGTGAACATCATCTATCCAGTACCACTCACACACCACAGTCTCAAAGACTTATTCCCGGGAGTAGAGAGGGAGCTTCCCTGTGATTTACCAGGGTGGATTGAGACTGTGAAGTCACATGGATGTATTAAAACTGCATCAGGAAAACCAGGACCAAGAACTTAGAAAATGTGCCAGGCCAGGGAAAGGGTCCAGCTCCCTTACCCAAACCCCATGAATTAATGGACCTAGCACTGTGATGGCAATAGTCTCACCAACCTGTCCGATAGCTGGTGTGCAAGTCAAGGACTGGCAGGCAGAGAATGCCCGACTGTTCCTGGGGCTTCATCTCAGCTCCTCTCCTGTCACTGATGCAGCCTGCCCCACCACTGACCTACCTCCTCACCTCTTCAGACTTGAGCCCATCATCTCCTGGTCCAACCCTGTTCTGCCCTCTGGCCTCAGTAGCTGACACCTTGGATCTCAAAGCTCACTTTCTGACTGCCTGACCTCTACAGTGAAAGCTTCCTTGGGGCTGCTCTGGGTTCCCTTATTATCTATACAGGCTCTATTTGCATTTCTCCCAACCCATTTCTAGAAGCTCGTGAACTCTGTTGTACCCTCTTTACCTTGTATTTATTCTGAAATATATATATATATATATGCATATATATTTATAGATACACTTACTGTGTGCTGTGCAATATGAGAGTTGATATTAGTGATTAAGTCTGAACTAAAAGGACCCACATTGCCTTGACTAGGTTGCTAAAGAAGGTGGGATTCTTTAACAAGTTGCTAGCAATAAACCTATAGCTGTTCCAACACTGTAGGAAAGCACAAATGTGTCCATCCGTTTCTGGCATTCCATGGCAGTCGTTTCCTGTAGAGGACGTGTGCATCCAGATTTGTGTTTGGCCTCTTCTGAGTCTCCTCAGCCTCCACTTCTTTCAAGTTCTCCCCTTCGTTTCTTTCATCCCAGCAGACATTTCTCCTCATGGTGCATTGGACCTTTCACCCTCAGTTACACTGATCTTCCTCTCTGTTCTATACCAGCTGCCATTATTTTTTACCAGAAGACATAACTCTTTCTTTTGTTCATTTATTTGTCTTGTTTGCTTTTTGGATTTTTTTAATTTAAATTTTTTAATTGAAAATTATTTTTTCATACAATATATTCTGATCATGGTCTACCCTCCCAGATCCTCCCCACCCATCCAATTCCATGCTTTCTTTCTCTTTCTCTTTAGAAAGCAAGGTGGTGGGGGTTGGGGGGAAAATGAAGAAACAAAGAAAAATCATGAGAAACACCAAAAAAACATAAAAATGCAAAATTAGAAAATACAATATACAAGCAAAAGGCCAGTAAGTTTTTTTTTTTAATGAGCAAACAAAGCAATATGAAAAAAAGAAAAAAATCTCCAAATATCCCATTGAGCTTGTTCTGTGCTGCCATCTACTGCTAGACATGGGGCCTGCCCTTAAGTGTGGTTTATATACCCAGTGAGACTCCACTGAAGAAAACGGAGTTTTCCCTTGCAAGCAGTGGCAATTGGAAGTAGATTCTTGGTTAGGCATGGAGGCTTGTGTTCACTGACCCTCTCAACCCTGGGGCCTGTGCAGACCCTGTGCATGCTGCCACAATCTCTGTGAGTTCATTTGTGCATCAAGCCTGGTTTGTTTGTTTGTTTGTTTGTTTGTTTGTTTGTTTGTTTTTCCCAGCAGGATCTCATGGAGCCCGAACTGGTCTAGAACTTAGCATTCAGCCTAGAAGGACCTTGAATTTCTGACCCTCCTACCTCTACCACCCAAGTGCTGGGATTACAGATGTGCACCAACATGCTTACTTTGTGGCATGCTAGAGATGGTGGGTGCTAAGTGAGCAACATGCTCACTTCATGGTATGTTTGAGATGGTATGTGTTGGATGAGCAACATGCCCACGCCCACTTCATGTCATGTAGAGACGGTGTGTGCCAAGTGAGCCACATGCCCACTTCATGGCATGCTTGAGATGGTGTGTGCTAGGTGAGCACTCTACCAGCTGAGCTACATCCCAGATCCATCTTTTCCTTCTTTTCTAACTCCTACTTGAGGTGACTGTTGACAGGCACAGCAGATACTGGCCCCACCTGTCTCATATTACCTGTGGACAGTCAAAGCCCTTGAGCTTAGCATTTTCTCTGTCATACACACCTCCTCACCTGCCTGATATTTAAGCCTCTATTCATTGCTTAGTGTTGCCCACACTTACCTCCATATTCCAGCCTCCATGTCTGCTTACACTATTCAATCTCACTCCTGTTTTGTTTCATGGTGCCGGATGTTGAACCTAGGGCCTTGCCCACCCTAGGCAAGCTGAGCTAGACCTCCAGCCCTGAACGACTTTTTCTTTTCCTTGTATTTTCTTAGAAAGTCTTACTGAGTATTTTTAATTTGCTGTGCTCTGTGTATGAAGTATATAATGTAAATATAATGTGTGGACATGATCAGTCCCAGTACTTCAGAGGCAGAGGTAAGAGGATTGCTGTGACTTCAAGGCCAGCCTGTTCTACATAGGAAGTTCTAGGCTAGCCTCAGCTATACAGTGAGACTGATCTCAATGAATGAATGAATGAATGAATGAATGAATGTTACTTGCTTATAATCCAAACATTCTTCCTTTTAATATATTTTGGTGTGTTTATACTGGTACCAGTAATTGCAGTCCTATCATTTTTAAATAATTTCTTATTTTTAGCTTCTTTTAAAAAGTGACCATGTGTGCCCTGCTTGTTTCAGGTTGGTTTGTGAGTTTCTTTTGTCGAATTTAAAGACTTGTGGTTTTGTTATTTGTCTCCTTTATAACAAAGTCTGTTTAACCCCGTATGGGTTCGGTGGCCTCTGCCTTCTGCAGGTGAACATGCAGCGTGAGATGGACCAGATGTAGAGAGAGGGAGGAAGAGAACAGATCATTGCTGCAAGGCTTCTGAAGGGAGTGTGCACAGGGATGCTCTGCAGACCGCTGCACGAAGAGCAGAGCTGTTGTTAACCTGCCACTGGTGAAGCCGAGAGTCACACCTCATATTAAACTGCAGTGACGAGCGAGATGATGTGAGAAACGGAGGAGGATGTAAAAAGAAACAACAAAGAGGAAAAAAAGTCCCAGAAAGGACCTTAGTCCAAATGGGACTTTAACATAAAAGTCACCATTTCAAGCCATCAAAGCAAAGAAAGATAAATTATCCAAAGCGTATTCCTAAAGTGGCCGGGGGAGCCAACTGGGGGAAATGTTAGAGCCCTTGTACAAATACAGCAGTAAACCCAATGATAATTCATTAATGAAGAATTTTAAACCAAATTCCAGATCCATTCCCTTCCCCAAAATATAAAGGCAAAGAGACTCTGTAGTTTTGGAAGATAGTATGGTATTTTTAAACTTTTAGTAAGAGTTTATAACAACATCTTTAAAATAACATTTTAAAGAATATTATACTACTTAGAAAAATAGAAGTCTATAGAAAATCATATACACACAAATACTAATTTTCAATACTCTATAACAATTTTATTCAAAACAAAAACCAAAAAAGAAAAACAAACACTTCATAGCCTGGTGGTGGTGGTACATGCCTTTAATCTCAGCACTTAGGAGGCAGAGGCAGGCGGATCTCTGTGAGTTAGAGGCCACCCTGGTCTACAGAGCGAGTTCCAGGACAGCCAGGGCTGTACAGAGAAACCCTGTCTTGAAAAAAACAATATAAAACAAAAACTCATAACATTTAGGAAAATAGAACTCTCTACAAATCCAAGAATTGAGTATAATTCTTTTGTTTGTTTGTTTGTTTGTTCATTTGTTTGTTTTTGAGACAGGGTCTTTCTTTGTAGCAGAGGTGGTCCTCAAACACAGGACCCTCCTGTCTTAGCCTTAGTGCTAGGATTGTCAGTGTCCAAGGAGTGTGACCTTAAACGTGGCAGTGTGAGTCGAGGCACTGGAAACGGGAGAGCTGAATCTCTGCCTAGAACACCATGAACACCATCCCCTTCCCTGCCCTCAGAGGTACCAGAGAGGGTTCACTGTGAGCATCTGTTGCTATGGAGAAGAACCCAATCCCAGAGTACCAGATATGGCAACAAGAAGGATGAAAACATCTCCAGCAGGGCTGGATGGAATTCTGCATTTAAGCAGTGAGACCTGAGCCCCTTCCCTCCTGCTTTCTTTCCTTCCCACGCCCTACTCACCCCATCCCAACATGCAAACGGAAAGAAGTGTTGACTATGCAGAGACCCTAACGTATACCCACCCATCGCCGCTAACTGAGAATGAATAGCCAAAGACCACAGACTTTGAGCTAAAGATAATATAGATTAGATAACATGGAAACCAGAAGGAAACAAACAACAGAGAGAAGAAATTTGAAATTCTTAGCTACAGTCTAAGCATTATGACTTAGGGATGTAAGGGAGCCTGGGGATGGCAACAGGAGACCATGGCTTCTTGCTGGAGCCATGAGTTCAATTCCCAGCACCAGTTGAACAAACACAGGATAGCCTTCTTCTATGGTGAAACCACTTACCTGGTTATAGTCATTAAATTGTTAGTCTCAATTTTTTTTACCCAAACTGGACAGATGGGAAAGGACAGCACTTTTTTCTGCTTATAGCATTTACCTGGCTATTAAAACGGGACACAGGTAAATCCTGGAAGCCTAGTCCATGGTGGGTGTGCGGGGGGAATCAGGGATGGGGTGGTTCACAATTTCTGGGATTCTAGCCCATGGTGACCCCATGGTTGTTTCAGGCCTGTGACAGCGTGGTTCATCTTGCTTGAAATGCACGGCATGAGAAGCCTGTTCACAGAAGGCCAGCTGGGAAGCAGAAGGAAAGAGGAAGGGGCCTGGGTCTCAACATCTCCTTCAATGGCACACCTCCAATGACCCCATTCCCTCCAGCTAATACCCCTCTGAAGGAGTCTACCATTCCCAATAGCGCCACTGGCTGAGAGCCAAAGCTTTAACACATGGCTCCCGGGAGGGTGGCATTCAAGATTGAGTTATAACAGATACTAAAATCAGTTAAAGTCTAGGAACCAAGAACAACCAATATTGCAAGCCATAAATAGAACAAAAGACACACAGGATTTTATGGAGAAAAGTCTAAACTTTCCATTAAAAACAAGCAAACAAGGGGGTTAGGGAGATGAGTCAGTCACTAAAGGGCTTGACTTGCACTCATGAGAACCAGACTTTGGGGCTCCTACACCCACATACAAAGCCAGGCAAGGTGATGTCCATCTCTTACTGTTCTAGGAGGTGGAGACAGGTGGATCCTCATCCCTGGTCAGTCAGCATGGCCAAATAGATGAAAAACCCTCAACGAACAAGGTGGGGAGAGATTGAAGGTGACCCACAACATCAACCTCTGGGCAGCGGCATGCACTCGAGCCAGCATGCTAGCATGCACATTCCCACATGAACATATACATACAATACATATTACACATATGAGAGAGAGAGAGAGAGAAATAGAGAGATTGATTGATTGATTTTAAAATCCAAGCAAACAAATACATACAAGGGCATGAATAGATGGAGCATCTAGCATATAAAACAGTCAGGATTGCTGTGTTAGCCATGTCAGTTCCTCCCAGAGTCATCTTTGCAGTTAATGCAACCAAACCCCCATGCTTTTTGTGGACTTTAAAATCCATATGAAACAGTCAAGAATAGCTCCATTCTGGTTGTTCCCAGCTGAAATCTCAGCACCAACAAGTTGAGACTGAAGATTACTGAGTTTGAGGCTAGCCTGGTGAGTTCTGAGCTAGCTTGGACTACACTGAGATTGTCAAAGAAATAAAGAATAAGCCGAATACAGCTTATGATAAAGCTGAAGTAACTGAAGTCACCTGGTTCCATGGGGTCCAAAAACACCAGAGAAAGGAGCAAAGGCGCCATCAAAATGTCCAGAGCTTAAACCATGACAGGAAAAATGTCATACGGGCTTCCACCACAGGAAAAATGACATACGGGCTTCCCGGACCATTCCACACACATTCCCAGGAACAAGTCAAGAATACAATGCAGACACCAGAGTGCTTAGAAGGTTTGCTCACATCCGTCTATAACTACACCGTAACCCAGCATTCAGGGGATGAAGGCAAGGACAGCCGGGTTTCTAGGCCAACTTGGGACTCAAACAAAAACAAGGTTTTAGAGAAGAAGAAAAAAAAAAAAGACACCGAAATACTTTAATGACCTTGAGATGAGGAAAGAATTCTTAAGATTCCAAAAACACAAACTCGAAAGGGAAAAAGCTGATTGCATAGATCCCGTAGGGATTTGATTGCATACATATTTAAAACTTCCACCTAATATGCAGAATGTATAAAGAAGAATAAGGTTTTAAAAAAGGAAGGGCCGGCAAGGTGGCTCAGCGGGTGGCGGCATTTGCCGCCAAGCCGACAGTTTGAGTTTGAGCCCCCGATCCACGTGCAGGAAGCAGAAAGCCTACTCCTCCGGATCCCCCACCCCAACCACGCCAATTTTACACAGCAAAGGAAGTGCAAGAGAAACTGTGGAAGCAGGGACACCTGAGCAGGGGGAAGATGTGTCACCTCCTGAGCGACCAGGACATTGTCGCTTTAAAAATAAAAATAGGATGCCAGTGAATGTGCATCTGATTGTCAGAACAATCTAGTCACACTCAATTTGCTTTTCTTCAATTGTTTTGTATTTTTTATTTATTTTTTGAAGATTTATTTATTTATTATGTATACAATGTTCTGGTATGCCTATATGCCAGAAGAGGGCGCCAGATCTCATTATAAATGGTTGTGAACCACCATGTGGTTGCTGGGAATTGAACTCAGGACCTCTGGAAGGACAGTCAGTGCTCTTAAACTCTGAGCCATCTCTCCAGCCCCATTTTGTATTTTTTTTCCAGAGCTGGGGACCGAACCCAAGGCCTTGTGCTTGCTAGGCAAGCACTCTACCACTGAGCTAAACCCCAACCCCTATTTTGTATTTTTTAAATAAAAAAATGTACAGTATATTCTGATCATGACTTCCCCTCTCTCATCTCCCACATCCCCACCCATTCAATTCCATGACTTCTTCTCTCCCTTCTTAGAAAACAGATACATGCAAAATTTAAAAATGCTTAAAAAGGAATGTTAAACTCTGGAGGAAAAATAGTTTTAAAAATTCAAAGCTGATTTTGAATTTTTATCCTTTAAAAACTCTTGTGTCACAGGTTTCTATATATTTACAATACACAATAAAATAAATGCCTGGGGGTAGTGATGGTGCACACCTTTAATCCCAGCACTCGGGAGGCAAAGCCAGGCAGATCTCTGTGAGTTCGAGGCCAGCCTGGTCTACAGAGTGAGATCTAGGAAAGGCACCAAAACTACACAGAGAAACCCTATCTTTAAAAAAAAAAAAAAAAAAAAAGCAAAGAAAAAAAGAGTCCTTCCTGCTCTTACAAAGGACTAGAGTTCAGTTCCCAGAACCCATGCCCCAAGACTCACAACTCCTTATAACTCCAGCTCCAGAGGATCTGATACCCTCTACACTCCAAGGGTGCTGTACCTACACGTACAAACCTACACACAGGTACACACATACACATAAATAAATAATAAATCTTCACACAAAACTGTGGCACAGGAGCTGTCTCTTCAGAAAGAAGTATAATTAGCATAGTTTTATCTGTGATATTGAATATTATGTATACATTATACATAATATATATATGCACACATTAAATATAGATGGTAGGAATACAATGGGGGGTCCTTTCACATAATTTTTGCATTTTCCAAATGTCTAATATGTTACAATTTAAGAAGAGAAAGAGAGAAGTAGATAGTCTTAATCTAGTGCCCAGGCCTTACACATCATTGGAGGATTTTAAGGAATATATGCTGTTCCCTTTTTAATTTAATTTATTTATTTATTGCTCCCCCCACCCAACCAGTGTTTCCTTTTACAAATGAACCTTAGCAGATACAAAATAAAGTAACATTAACAGTGTAGTAGGTGCTGCTTGGATACACATGTACATTTTGTGATTTTATGTAATTTTTAAATCAGGTTAAACATCCTGGCAAACAGTTATTTTTTTATGGTCAAAAACAAACAAAAAAAAAACCTTTGTTCTGGCTTTTTGAGGTACTCAGTACATATCTTCCATCTGTTTTCACTCTACCACAGACAGCACATCAGGACTTCTTCATTCTGGGGTTTTGTTTGTTGCCTTTTTTTTTTTTAATTTTTATTTTATGTGCATTGGTGTTTTGCCTGCATGTGTATGTGTGTGTATATCTTGGAGTCACAGACAGTTGTGAGCTGCCATGTGGGTGCTAGGGAATTGAACCTGGGTCCTCTGGAGCAACAGTCAGTGCTCTTAACCACTGAGCCAGCCACTTGGTTGTTGTTTTTGTTTTGATAAAAACAAGGTCTCCCCAAGCAGTTCAGCCTGGCCTTGGACTCCGGACTCGAGTTTCTCCTGCCCCCTGGTGCTGGATCATGGCAGTACATCATTGTAAAGTGAAATCCACTGACCTGCCCTTCTGCTCAGCCCTTGGTACCCAGCTTGCCTTCTACTTGTTTTACCGTCCATATGCCCGGATGTGCTGAAGGGAATCCTGAACCATACCATATTTCTATTTTTAATCTTTTGAGGAACAAGCTTCTGTTTTGCATCATGTCTATACTAATTTACATTTTCACCAATGATGATCAACGATCTATTTTCTTTCCTTCCTTTCTACTTTTTTGTGGCACTACTTATTGAACCTAGAACCCCACGCATGCTAGGGAAGAGCTCTGTCAGATGAATGGAATAAAAAGTGGCACACACCCACTAGGAAAGTAAAGAAGAGTAAAATCTTGCCATTTGCAGGAAAGTTATGGGACTGGACAGCGTCGTGTTAAATGCAGTAAAGCCAGACTCAGAAAGACAAGTATTGAGTATTTTATCTCATATGCAGAATCTAGATTTTTTCATTCAATAATTATATTTATGTTATTCATTAATTACATTAATTGTATTGATTTATTACATTCATGATATTTTGTCCTGATACTACTGTCCATTTGTGGGGTTTTTCCATCACACAAAACAGAGATGCAGAATCTAGATTTAAACATACATGCATGCGCGCGCGCGCGCGCGCGCGCGCGCACACACACACACACACACACACACACACACACACACACGCAATGCGAAAGTTGAGCGGTCCTAGGAGGAGGAGGAAGAAGTCTAAAAGGAAAGGATAGGGGAGCTAGAGAGGGTAATGGGAGTCTAAAAACACAAAATCCAGCATTTTTGTACACAAAACCTAGATTTAAGTCTACATACCTCTGTGATGAGACAGAGAAGTGGGGGGAGGAAAGGGTCCAACAAGTGGAGGCTGGGGGAAGGGGCAGAGGAAGACAATGTGGCTAGTCAACAACACTAAGGTCCGGTGATAATATAGTGGAAACCTACTATTGGGAAGGGATTCCCAAGGCCCACCCACCTGAGGATCTCAAGGCAGCTCCTATTGCTTGGAGGGGGAGGTGATCCGGACCCATGTCCTGGAAACAAACCTAATGAAACGCACTGAGTCATAAAAAAAGGGGAAGAAAAATGAGATGGAGGTAGAGGAGAGACTCGTTAGGAACTGGGAGGGGATTATCAGGAGGGAGATGAGAGAGTAGGTGAATATGATCATTATACAATACATACATGTGTAATATTGCCATAGTGAAACCCATTATTGTGTATAATTATGACATGCTAACCAAACATACATACACAATTAAGTTATTGTTCCAAAATAAATAATTTAAAAGCAGGACGGAGAGATGTGGACCACTGCTTATCCAGGGAACACAGAAATTAGACAGAACGATTTATGCAACACATTAAGTGAACCGAGTTACCAACCCCCAAAGAACATGATGAATATTCATAAATCCACATGCAGAAAGTTGCCCTTTCTCCAGTGCGTGTCCTGAGCACCTTGGCCAAAAATCAGCTGACGCTCAGGTACGGTGACGCACGTACCACTTGAGAGGCAGAGGCAGGAAGAGTGGAAGGCTAGCCACAGCTACATAGTGAGTTCAAGATCAGCCTGAGCCACAAGAGAGCCTGTCTCAAAAAAGAAAGAATAAAAGCCCTCAGCTGCCTGCGGACGCGAGCATGCCCTTGTCCTGTTCTGTGCCATCGGTCTATGTGTCTTTTTGTGGTTATACCACCCTGTCTTGAGTGCTGTGACTTTGTCGAATGTTCTCAAGACAGGGGACTCAGCCGGGCGGTGGTGGCGCACACCTTTAATCCCGAGCACTCCGGAGGCAGAGGCAGGCGGATCTCTTTGAGTTCAGGGGACTCTCACACCTTCCACTGTGTTGCATGTTGTGTGACTGGCTTTACCCTCCCCCAGAGAGATTTACAAGTGTTACTCCTAGTTCTGTGAAAAATTTATCTTATCGTGTCTGCAGAGTGCTGAGTTGTATTTTAATAATATTGATGCTTCCGATTTATAAACAGATGTCTTTCAATTTGTGTGGATGTGTGTGGATGTGTGTGGATGTCTGTATGTATGTGCATGTATGTGAGTGTGTATATGTGTATGTGAGTCTGTGTGTTTGTACGTTTGTAGGTGTGTGTATGAATGTGTGTGTTAACTTCATTTTCCATAATCAGTATTTCATAGTATTCACTGCCGAGATCTTTCACCTCTTTGATTAGATACAGTCCTAGGCCTTTGGTTTCCTCGTGCCTACTGTAAATGGTTTGCACTCTTGTTCTTATTTCAGATAATTCACTGTTATACAGCAATACCAGCAAAACCACTGATGGAGGGGGGTGGGGGGTGGGTTTTATACCTGGCCACTCTGCCATATCCATTTGTTAGTTCTAATGGCTCTTAAGTGGCATCTTTGGAGTTTCTATATATAAGATTATGACACACAACGCTTCCACTCAGATCCTGACTGAGCCACGCCTCCGCCCTCACGGTGAGCTCGTGCTCAAAGTTTTCCATGGAGAGCTGGGGGCTAAAAGAAGGCAATGCAGCTGTGAACTGCAAATATAGTCTCCTCGAATTCTAGAGGGACAGCTGTGCAAGGCATGGCGGGACCCATCTTTCCCGCTGCCTTTTCTTTGATTCCCAAGACTGTGAAAACAGAGGAACTGTCAATAAGAGGGGACAGGCACTTTCCAGTGGACGGAGCTGTGCGGGCTGGAGGCTAAATTTAATGGTGAAAGGTTAGCGTTCCTTGAGGCACTCCTGCGGTAGTTGGCAGTTGCTGGCATTGCCAAAGAGGCTGCTAGCTCCAACCTGGCTCAATCCAGCACACCGCCGTTCTCTAAGCACCTAACCACAGGTGGACGTCGTCGTCGTCGTCGTCCGAGAAGCTAAGTGAACTTAACCAGTTTCACACAGCTGCCTCTGAGAGGGTTTAGTTTCCTTTCTCACTCAATGCTGGACAGTGATGAAGGCCAGAGGGAAGAAAGTGTCTCTGGATGAGGCTAGCAGGGGAGATGAGAGCAAAGAGAGCAAACAGCAACGGGAGAAAGATGTGGAAGAGGAGAGCTTGAAGGGGAGTGGTCGCTTTAGGGTTCATAAGTTTTTGTGCATATATGTGTGTGTTGTACATGTGTGGGTATGTGTGCACATGAATATATATTCGTGCGGAACCAAAGTTGACACTGTGTATCTTTCTTTATTGCTGTCTATCTAATAGTTTTTATTTCATGTGTGGGGGTGTTTGCCTGCATATAGGTCTGTGCACCGTGTGCATGCCTGTTGCCCAAAGAGGCCAGGACAGGGTGTCAAATCCCTGGGAGGAACTGGAGTTGCAGATGGTTGTGAGCCACCATGTGGGTGCAGGGAATTGTGTCTGGGTCCTCCGGGAGAGCCAGCTCTGAACCCCTGTGCTGTTCCTCCAGCACCAACCCACCTGCATTATTTTTGTTTGTTTAGTGACAGTGAACTTGGAACTGGCCAGAAAGCTCCATGGATCCACCTGTCTCTGCCTCCTCGGTGCTAGGGGTTCAGCCACTCACAATCACCCTCAGTTTTTTAAGTGTGTGCTGGGACCTGAACTCAGCTTCCTGCAGACACTTTACCAATGGAGGCATACCCTTAGCCATGTTTTTGTGGGTTCTGTTTTGTTTTTCCTTTTGATGGTGGGGAGTTGAATCCAGGACCGAGTGCATACCAGGGAAACATTCTGCCAGTGAGCTGCATCGCCCCCCCCCCCCTTGTTTTTCTGACACGGAGTGAGGATGCCCTTGAACTCACTGCAGTCTAAGCTGCCCTCTACACCATTCTTCTGTCTTCACCTCCTGAGCGCAGGGGTGATGGGCATAGACCGCCACACCAGGCTACTTATTTGTTGTTGTGGCTCTGGATTGCCCAAATATAGCAGCTTCAAATATCATTAATCATTAGCTCATAATTTTCACCAGCTGGGACCCAGGTTCCAGTCCAGGATCTCGCGAGGCTAGAATCAACACATTGGTCAGACTGTGGCTTCACATCAAGACTGTTTATGGAAGGATTCACTCCACCCTCTTGGTCATCAGCTCCCCACTGTCTGTGGCTTGCTGGTATTCTCTCTTCCTGTTGTTGTTGTTGTTGTTGTTGTTGTTGTTGTTGTTGTTTTTCAATCCCAAGGTCCTCCTTAGCTTCTTACAACAGGGACCTCTCCAACAAGATCCTTCAAGAATGTAAACAAGCCAGGAGGTGGTGATCCAGAGAGCCAGGAGGATCTCTGAGTTCAAGGCCAGCCTAGTTTACAGAGTGAGTTCCAAGAAATGCTCCAAAGCTATACAGAGAAAACCTATGTCGAAAAACAAAAAAATAAAAATAATAATAATGTAAATAAGTGAAGAGTTATATTTCTTTTATACAACTCTTGATAATAATCACAGAGTGCAGGGCAGGTGCTGCATGGGTAGCAAACCGACTCAGAGTAAGAACCTGACTCCCTCCCTCCGGCTGCTCTTCCCTGCACTAGTCCTTGCTTCTGAGGTCTGGGGGTTCTTCCTTCAGTCACAGCATGAGACCATGCGATGATTCCTGACATACACTCTGACTTTTGAGCCTATGACTTTGGGAAGGTTTCTGCTTCTGTCGGGCATCTCTCTTGATGAAAAAATTCTTAAGAGAATTATTTTTTTTCTGACTTGAAATACCTGATATAGTAGAAAGATCTGGGAGCTTCATTTCAGCAAAGCAAACCTTCTCTTGCATCCAAGGCATGATGTGCCCTGTATGTCTTCTCCTGATGGAGGATGGGTGCAGGGACAGGATGCTAGCTGGGGTTGGCACTAGCAATTCAGCGCATCAAAAGAAGAGTGTACGAAGAGGGCAGGGTGAGAACCCTGATGCCTTGGTCTGTGCCACCGGAGAAGGACAGAGCGAACCTTTCCAGTGAAGATAATGGAGACCACTTCAGTCCAGGTGTGACGAACCCACCGAGAGATAAAGACAGGGAAGATATAGAGAAGAACTCCTTCAGGAGTGTCCTCCCCCTAAACCGCCCTCCTCCCCACAAACTCCCTCTCCTTCCATCACGAAGTCCGAACCCCCGCACCCTTTCTGCTCCCCCAGAGCTCTGTCCCCTCCTCCCCACAGCGCAGTCACCGTCTCAAATGTTTACTGAAGTGCGGCCTCTGCTGCCAGGTTCCCCAGCCTATCTTAAGACAGGAGGAGCCAAGACCTCACTCCTGACCATCCCTGCGTCTCAAGGATTTCACGGGTGTCAAAGGAAGGACGGAAGCCACCTTCCTTTAAGATGTCTCTGTGTGAAAGGGGACACCTTTCCCCCCACCCCATCTTGTGCTTGCAGTACCCATCATTCTTCCTTTGTGTACAGTGTGGGTTCCATCAGTGTGAGCCGATGGGAAGTAAGAGCCCCGGACCTTCGTGGAAGGCTGCCTTGGTGGAGCCTGCGGGGACAGTTCAAAGCACTAAGAAATCCACCTCTCACTTTTACAAGAACATAATGACATTTCAGATGAGATTTCAGAAAAAAAAAAAAAAAAGTGTCGATCTTTACGAAGGATTTCATGACACTACCTCTAAAAACCTCAGATTCATCTATCGTTTGACCTAGAAACTCCACATCTAAGAGTCTGTTCTAGGAATTTTGTTCACATGTGTGTACGTGACGTAAGCTTAAAATTACTACACGGTATTTTGTCATTGCCAGTGAAAAGAGGTGGCCTAGAAGTGAACAATTGGAGGTCGGATAAAACACAGCGCAGCACAGAGCGACATGCCAGCGGCAGCCATTCCAAGAAAGGAGGCAGCTCTGTCTACACCGATGGGAAACCCTCCACCGTTAGGCAGACAAAAATATGATTTGCTCTGTCCGTTGTCCTCAGTCCTGGGAGGCCTGTACCTGTACACAGGTGCACATATGCACTAACTTAAATGTCACGTGCTTTCAGGAAAAGTCAGTGTCAAGCTTTATTCCTAGACACCATGCTATAAGTATCTGTTGCTCCGACTGCAGGGGTATTACCGCCTCACATCCAGTCCTAAACCGGAAGGTGCCTGGGAATGACGGGCTCCCCACTCACTGAGTCTTTCATGAAAATGGCCAGCAAGCCCAAGGAAAGTGGAGTTTGCCTCCCTGACGGAGAAGATGGGTGCAGCTGTCTCTTTCACATCAATTGGAGAGGTTACAGATGTCTCAGAGAAGGGCTGGGGACATGGCCCAGTGGGAAAATACTAGTTGAGGCCCTGAGTTTGATCCCAGAGTCGAGAGACGGGGGTTGGGGGAGACTCACATCTTTTCCTGTTAAGTTTTGGTCTATTCTTTAAAGACTAATACATGGCAGGAGGTGGAGGCAAAGCGTGCCCAGAGACCTCAGTCAGCTCACAGCATCCTGATCTCACCATCAAAATCAATGTGTCTTGCTAAATTTGAGTAAGAAAGGGGCCATCTACACAACTGGAAAGCCTCCCAGGTAAGAGGCAGCACAAAGCTGATCAAGAATTAGCAGGCAAATGTGCTAATTAGAAGTTTCCACATGTCATTACTAAAATTCAGTCAGTGAAATGTTCCAGGTTTACACCTCTATGAATATAAATGCTAAAAAAAAAAAAAAAGTGAATGCATTTTTTTCTTTTATCTTTTCCTTCTTTTTTGGTGGAGAAGGAGGGGGAGTTGAGACAGGGTTTCTCTGTGTAACATCCCTGACTGTCCTGGAACTCACTTTGTAAACCAGGTTTGCCTAGAACTCACAGAGATCCACCTGCCTCTGCTGGGATTAAATGTGTGCACCATCATGCCCAGCTGCATTTTTTAAATAGATGGATGTTATGTTGTGGCAATTGCATCCACATAAAGATGTAAAACGCACAAACAGAGGACCAACTGGATTGTTTTCCCTGAATCAATGGCATATTTTGGAAGATTGGAGCATCTGATCCATTTCTGTCTATTATTCTTCAGTTCTCAACAGTGAGCCCTCCCAAGGTGGCACACACTTGTTCACCTTGGCACATATGCAGTTATCATTCCACATCATGTAATGGTCATAGCTGAATTCTACTTGGGGCTCTAAACCCGGGAATCTAGACACATGACCCATCCTATGTCATAGCTGCTCAGGGGGCTCTAAACCCAGGAATCTAGACACATGACCCATCCTATGTCATTGCTGCTCAGATACAAAACCACAAGGATCCAGGGGCTCGGACCCTGGCAGTAAATGACATTTATTCAGAGATAATCTTGCTGGTTCCCTGCCTCAGGAACTGAGTGCTAGGTCCTCGAGTTCCTTACCTGGACTCTTTCTCCCTTACCCTGCAACCACCTCCCCCTCTTCAGAGTGTATTGTTAGAAATGTCTAAAAACTACTCCAGGAGCTTCTGGTGCTCTGAAACTTTCTAGCAGCCTGAGACTTTAACACCAGCCGAAGGAGGTGATCTTCAGACAGGGTGAAGACAGCAGCTGTGGTCACACTCATCCCCCTCCTCTTCCTGCCAAGGCAAGAGGGGCTGCAATCCAGAGGGGCCTCATGAAGTGGGATCCTGTGTAGGACAGTGGCTTGTTTCCTGAGCGTAATGTCCTGAAGGTTCAGAAAACGGAGATTGTAGTTCCCGTCTTCTGAAAGCCTGAGGTGTGGGTTCGAAGCTGAAGGAATGTTGCATCTGGTGTCCTAAGGCTTGAGTGAAATGTCTCTGTAAGCCTGGTTGGAGAGGATGGGCAGGAAGAGAGACAGGAAGGGAAATGGCAAAGGAAGGATATTGTGGAGTAAAGATTCAGACAGCAGAAGCCTAGAAAGCTCCCAGGGGGCAGCAAGATGATATGGAGGAGCAAGGCAGGAGAGCAGGTAGAGGCATCTCCCACCAAGTCTGAAGACCTGAATTCAGTCCCCAGAACCCACAGGATGAAAGGAGGGAACCTGCTCCCCAAACTTGTCCCCTGACATCTATTCATGCAGCATGGAACTGTGTCATGTATGCACAGATGCACATACACTCACGCACACAAGATAAACAAATAAAATATTTTAAAGGATGACATCAGGGTATATGTTTTGGAGTATATTTCCCCTGGCTAAGCCTAACCACCAAATCCCTTTAGCAGAGAGAGGTATCCCTTCTCTACCTTTTCATGAAGGTCCTGGCAGGTGGGTGGCTCCTGGAGTCTCCCTCTTTCTTAATTGACGATAAAGTCAGCCCTGCATCTATTGCCTATAATTAGATCCTGCTCGGCTTTGCGGCAAACACAGCCAGCTATGACTCAGGGATCTTGGAAGTGTGTTTGTTAAAGGGCTGTGTGTCATGTAGACTTGTTCAACAACTCTCATAGAATTAATGTGCTTATTACAACTTACACTGGGGGGTCAAAGTTACAAATATCCCTCTTTCAGTAAATTGCAATAATTGTCCTGTATGACCCTAAGAATGAGCAATGTGGGGAATCATTCACAGCACCAAAGACTATTAGACAGCTATATGCAATGGTTTCACAGAGGAAGCAGTCTCAGAGTGACCCAGCACGAAGATTCACATTAAAAAAGAGAGAGACTAACAGCCCTGAAAATTCCAGTGGAGGTCACAAGACTTCTGGGTCTTAGAGAAATTGTTAATGGAACTGGAAATAACAAAGACTGTGGGTCAAGTCAGTGGTTTCCAAACCTTTCCAATTCTTGTTTAAGTATTAGAAGCGCCCAACACTCACTCTCTCTCTGTCTCTGTATATGTGTATGTGTGTATATACATGCATGTATATGTGGGTTCACATGTGTGTGGAGACCAAAAGTCAACCTCAGGTCTCCTTCCTCAGTTGTCAGACACCTTATTCCTTGACAGGATCTCTCACCGGTCTAGAACTGCTTAGTAGGCTGACTGACCAGCAAGCCCCAGGGATCTGCCTCCCAGGGCTGAGATTATAAGTGTGCATCACCACACCCAGCCTTTTTATGTGAGTTCTGGGGGTTGAACTCAGGGCCTAATGTTTGTGAGACAAGCAGTTTCCTGACAGCCCAGAAGCCGTTCTCTCTCTCTCTAACAAGTTCCCCTATGAATCCAAGCTTGGTAACAATGTGTTTGAACAAGCGTCAAGCCCTCCACGCTGCAGGGTGAACTAAGTTTCCTCCTCTCACTCTCGGGCAAGGGGATGCTGTTAAGCCAGTGTCTCCAATCCTTCCAAAGACAGTAGAAACCCAGGGGGCTGGACCTCAAGCTTGGTCCACCCTCACCACCCAGTCCCAGTTTCCGGTCTTCACATCCTGGGTCTGTCAGAAAGTACCCCCTGCCTCAGAGTGGACTGTCCGGAGCTTGTCAATTGGGTATTCTGCCAAAGATGGGCAAGGCATC